TGTGTGTGTGTGTGTGTGTGTGTGTGTGTGTGTGTGTGTGTGTGTGTGAAACCCTGCAACTGAAAAACTTTGAAGCGTCATATATTGTAGAAATAAATATTGCTGTAAATCTTCCTCTTTAATGTCTCTATATACTCTCTGATCTATACTGCCCTATTTGTCCTAAGTTAAGTTTAATTTCTGATGCAAATTTCCGGTTTTTTTTTTTTTTCTTTCCATTTTGCAGAATCACAGCCATGAATGCTGTAAATGCTGTGCAACTGTTCATTCTGGTTTGGACCTTTACTGCTGTCTGTCAAGCTGATAAAAGTAAGAGAATAAACTTCACCTAGAATGAACTAAATCTGAAATAATGAAAAATATCTGATTCATAGATATACAAAACATGGCTCTTTAAAAAGCATACCCAAGAGCTTTTGACTCTTAGTATGATTCAAAATACAGATTTACTGTTTGAACAGTTTTGGATAATAGGAAGAGAAATCCTTTAAGGTCAGAGAGCAGTATAATGTTTTTGTACAGATAAGTGCAAAATCAAATTTTCAATCAAGAATGCATGATCTTGTGTTTTCTCCACTGACTATATGACATGGCAACAGTCTGGATTGGTAAAATTCTCCTGTGAACTCCTGTGATCAGAGAAACAGCTTCACATGCCGCTACACTCCAAATACAACAATGACAACAATGACAAGTTTCTTTGTGCAAACAAACTGTGGAACGGAAACAACAGAATTCACTGTGGACATAGCAGACATAGCAGATAATATATATATATTTTATTCAGTAAATCTTTGGACATTTCTGTTAAATCTAATTTATGTTTAAAATGTCTTAACAGGGCCCACTACACCTGAAACTGTTACTGGAGCTCCTGGCGAGAAAGGTATTATATTAAGTACACTATTACAAGGGTAGCATCTATGTAATATTTTAAGGCCGCTGTCATCATCTTTATGGAATGTAGGGGAAATTTTCAGGTTAGTAACAGCACCAACTGCTGGTCAAAAATGTTACAACAACATAAATCAATGTGCGTCATGTTGAAAGTGAAAGTTTGTAGCCTCTATTTAAACGCTCGTGTGAGCAGCAGAGAGAGTCAGAGTGGAATAAACTCAGACGGTGAGGACACACAGACCGCAGGTGAGCAATAATTCCCTTAATATTTACTAATTCATAAGCAACTACAGGAACATCTTCAAATACATTTATTACACATTTAGCAGATATTTCAAAATGCCGACTATAGAAAACTTAAAAATGGTTTTGTCTGATTAGTGTTGCAGTGTTTCATACAGAATTATATTTGTTTTTCGTTCAACCAGTAAAAATAATGAAACAGAATTTTTTTATTTTAATTATTAAATATTTTTATTTCATGAGGTTCAGTTTCTGCCGCGGATACATTGTCATGAACGCATGTGTTTTATTGTGTGCTTTCAGTGACTTACTGTAATACATCTTGTGGTTTTGCATGTATTTTACACTTATAATCCCTTCAACGCTTCAGAATTAAAGTATGATGTGTGTGTGTGTGTGTGTGTGTGTGTGTGTGTGTGTGAAACCCTGCAACTGAAAAACTTTGAAGCGTCATATATTGTAGAAATAAATATTGCTGTAAATCTTCCTCTTTAATGTCTCTATATACTCTCTGATCTATACTGCCCTATTTGTCCTAAGTTAAGTTTAATTTCTGATGCAAATTTCCGGTTTTTTTTTTTTTTCTTTCCATTTTGCAGAATCACAGCCATGAATGCTGTAAATGCTGTGCAACTGTTCATTCTGGTTTGGACCTTTACTGCTGTCTGTCAAGCTGATAAAAGTAAGAGAATAAACTTCACCTAGAATGTGTGTGAGAATTTAGAAGAGAGACTAAAAATCTAAGATAATGGGGAAAAGATGGTCAAATCCATTTCATAGATTCTTAAAAAATACCCAGTGTAAGTGCTTTGTGCTCTTAGTCTGATTCAAAATGCAGATTTACTGTTTGAATAGTTTACACAATAGGAAGTTAAATCCATTATGTTCAGGAAGCAATACATTTTTTTAATGGCCATTAATGTGCTCTTTTACATAAAACAATGTTACACAGATAAGTTCAAGAGTTTCATGAGATGTCAAAAAATACATCTTTTTTATTGTTCAGTTGCTGTATTATATGATATACATTGTTATATTTCAGATTTCAATGTACGCTGTGATGGTGTGACTGGATCTGTAGGGAAAGAAGTACATCTCACCTGCAGAGTCTCAGGTGTGCAATGCTGCATTCAAATGTGTAAGTTTCGATACCCTAAGAGCTATAAAGACTCAACAATCTGTAAAGAAGAGCCTCCTGTGAACTCCTGTGATCAGAGAAACAGCTTCACATGCCGCTACACTCCAAATACAACAATGACAGAAAAATTCAGTTTCTTTGTGCAAACAAACTGTGGAACGGAAACAACAGAATTCACTGTGGACATAGCAGGTACTGTAAATAATATATATATATTTTATTCAGTAAATCTTTGGACATTTCTGTTAAATCTAATTTATGTTTAAAATGTCTTAACAGGGCCCACTACACCTGAAACTGTTACTGGAGCTCCTGGCGAGAAAGGTATTATATTTTTTTATTGATTACTATTGATGGCTGCTTCAGGTTACTTAGAAAGCAAGAACAGAAAACTGCTCTTCAGCATTATTCATAACTTTAATTCACTTGGAAATAAACAAATTTAGTGTTTAAGTTATATGAAGATGTCTAAGCAGTGTCACATCTCATCATATTTGATATTTTAAAGATTTTTGATTTGGTCTGCGTGTGTAGAGAATCAGTTTTCATCAGATTCTTAGCAGCAAAATCATATTGTGGAGAATCTGACTGTCTGCAGTCTGACAGGCTGAATTTGTGTTTCTGATTTAAACAATGCTATAAAAGATTTTAAATGTACCTTTACAGCGGAAGTCAAGATCATGAACGTATCAGGACGATCAGCACCAGACACAGCAGCAGGTCACGAATCTAAGGTTTCTGTCATCGCTGCAGTTGTGGGCTGCTTCATCCTCATCATCATCATAATGACAATCATTCACAACAAGAAACCAAACTTCACCAAACCTTGTGGATTCCAGAAGAGGATGTTTCTGTGCATCAAACATGATGAAGACAACACCACTCCTCCGGAAGATGTGATATAATAGCACTGACTCAGCAGTACGAGTTCTCATGCAGTGCTCATGAAACACACACAGCTTTATTTGAACTCCAGCAAACTCCATACTCTACTATCTGTTACTGAATATATAACTCTGGCTGTTGGTTTAAAACTAAAACTTATATTTATATTAATTTCTGTGAAATAACAGTATATTATTGATCTGTTTGATCAGTGTGTATATTTGTAAATTTGACTTTAATGAACTCAAGCTTTTGTGAACTTTAAGAGGAAACAGCAAAACTCAAACTGTGTTTGGTTTTGCTCTTTTTTTCTGACTTTTAAGGAATGTCTATAATGAATGTCAATTTTGTATCTGGTACAGTAAATGTCAATATAGCTGAAGTTTGGAAATTATATTACTTCATATTCTGCACATGCATTTTTCTAATATGTGAACAGTGTGGTTTAGTGGTTTATTAAAAAAAATACATTGAAATTAATAAAGACTTGTGATACTCTTTAAAGATGAATATCTAGATCCTCTGTTTATGGGTAAGTTATACCAGTTAAACTAGTAAAGTGGGTGAAGACTAAATTAAAAATGGCTGCCAAAATTAATCCTGTACGGTTAATTAATAATAATCTTATTGCTAAAATGTCAAGTTTTCATTGACTAAAACTAGACTAAAATACTTCAGGTTTTCTTGGACTAAAACTAGACTAAAATGTTGAGACTTTTAGTCGACTAAAACTTGACTAAAACTAAATAGGATAAGGTTGACTAAATATGATAAAAACTAACAAGGACATTTTAACACGGGACTAAGACTACAATGAAAATAGCTGACAAAATAAACACTAGCAGGTGGGCTGGAGAAACCATGATAATATATGTGAATGAAATTAATCATATTTATTTATATGCCAGCTGATATGAAATGAAACACAGATTTACTATTTGCATTTTTTATTTATATGAAATTTTATTTAACTGAGAAGGCACTGAATAATCTACAGTATGTGTAGTAAATGGGTTTTTATGGTGTTTTCATGCTGCTTATTTTGATTTACTGTGAACTCTGGAGATCTTGTATAGTTGTATGAAGATTTCTCCAAAAAAAAAACAATTCCATTTGTTGCATTGTAACATTAATAGCACAACTTTCATTTTGTGAACTGTTTTGATGTTATAAAGTGTTAGCAGGAGTACTGCCACTTTTTTTCCACTTTAAGCTCTGGTTTAGCTGCTTAAAGGGGGGGGTGCAATGCTGTTTCATGCATTCAGAGTTGTTTACACTGTTAAAGAGTTGGATTCTCATGCTAAACATGGACAAAGTTTCAAAAAACAATTCGGAGTATTTCTGTGCCAAAGATCTTACTTCCGGGTTCGTACAAGTTTCAGAGAGTTTTTTTCGATCGTGCCTCTTCATGACGTAGACGCGGGTGGAACTTTTTTTTTTTAATGGATGGGCGCATTTTATTTAACTGCTTTTAGACGGATGCATGCAACACCCGCTGAGTGGCATTAAACAGCTTGAAAGATCAAAGACAATTTTTAATATAACTCCGACTGGATTCGTCTGAAAGAAGAAAGTCATATACACCTAGGATGCCTTGAGGGTGAGTAATTTATGGGCTAATTTAAATTTTTGGGTGAACTAACCCTTTAAGTTTCAGAACTCAAAACTTTCTCGTTAGTTTAAAAACAGCTCATATTGAAGCCAGTCTGCCAAAATGGTTGTGGAATGTGTCACTTTATGATGTAATAATGTGGCTAAACACCACCTCCACAGAAGATGATCAACGCCTGTTTCTACAGCGCTGCCTGTTTAGCTCCGCCCACCGATTCCACATCACTTCCTGTTTAGCCCCGCCCACCGATTCGCACATGTAGTGTATAACTAGAATGTAGGTCTAAGCAGAAACCAAATGATAAAGATGCTCCGAAGACAAGACGCTGTGCAGTGCCAAGATGTGGAAAAACAGTCTTTTCATTGCCTTCCTTCTGATCCCAACGTTAGGAAAGAGAAGAAGAACTTTATTTTTAATGCAGACCGCATCAGTAAGAACTTGTTCACTTCATTTAACCTTGGATTAGTTTACAAACAAGGCACAATTCAACGCGGGATTTTCCGAAAGACTGAAACTAAAAGACGATGCTGTGCGACGACAGTAATGTCGCACCACACAAGTGTGAGTTTTCATTACATGCTCACTATTGCTTTGTCTGTTACTACAGATCATTTTATTTGTACTGAGTATTTATGCGTTTTTTACCTAAATCACAGCAACGTCCATCTATGAGGAATGTCGGCTGTCAAACATACACAACTGTTAGCCAATCATAGCAGTGGGCGTTTACTTCCGAGTTTACAATCTGCCAGCCTATTCAAACAGAGCGTTCTGATGAGCGGGGTTAAAAACAGGATAGAAAATAGCTATTACTTCTAAATTGTGATATTTTTTAATGTAAAAAATCTTGATAACATTAAAAGGGGACATCAGACACAAGTGTGAGTTTTCATTACGTGCTCACTATTGCTTTGTCTGTTACTACAGATCATTTTATTTGTACTGAGTATTTATGCGTTTTTGACCTAAATCACAGCAACGTCCATCTATGAGGAATGTCGGCTGTCAAACATACACAACTGTTAGCCAATCATAGCAGTGGGCGTTTACTTCCGAGTTTACAATCTGCCAGCCTATTCAAACAGAGCGTTCTGATGAGCGGGGTTAAAAACAGGATAGAAAATAGCTATTACTTCTAAATTGTGATATTTTTTAATGTAAAAAATCTTGATAACATTAAAAGGGGACATCAGAGAACAGTACAAAATAATAACAAACAAAAAAAGGCAGTTCATGCCCCTTTTAAAATTTGTCTTCTTAGGTAGGTCAAAATCGATCGTAATGAATTAATATATCTCATTATATAAATGAACAAGATAAGCTGCAAAGGCTTTTATTAACAATTGAGATCAGTTTTCTGAAATCTGAGGAATGAATTATGCATTTGGCAGATGCTTTTATTCAAAGCAACTTACATTGCATTCAAGGTTTATATTTGTTAATCATGCACTCCATGGGAATCAAACCTATAGTCCATTGTCTACTGTTTGGGATACAGGAGTAATTGTCTGAGAAGTAGTAACCCTTCCAAGAAAGAGAACAAGATGATCCTACAGCTGATAAAAGCAAATGGCTGTCACGTGACGAGCATTCAGGGTCAAGAAAATCCAAAGAACCAAGACTCCGATGAAAGGGCCACAGAATGTGTTGTATAGCAACAGGTGTAAAACATGGCAGATGAACCACTGAACTTCATTTCATTTATTTTTGTATTGTAAATGTTTATTGTGCATTTACTGATCAATATTAGTTTTCAGTGTTTGCTGATTAATATCTATACTGCAAGGTATCTGATAGATATTATGCAGATATAAAGAGTATACATAAAAAGCTTTTCAGATCTAGCTACATTTCTTTTATTTCTCTGAACTGCCACAGAACTTCTGTTTCCTCTTTACAGGTATGTTTTGTAATTTCATCATCAATCAGTCACGCAACATCACTTTTCCATTACATACAAAACTGAACTATTTTAATGGCTAAAACAGTAGTATAAGCTTTTTTGGGAAAAGGGGAAAAAAGACGGGCTAGGGCCTATGTTTGAGGCCCGTGCAGGGCTCTAATCCATGTTATCCAACGCTGTTTTATTCTCGGTTTTCATCTGTGAGCATGCTCTTGATATACAGTGGTGCTTAAAAGTTTGTGAACCCTTTAGAATGGTCTATATTTCTGCATAAATATAACCCAAAAAAATCATCAGATTTTCATGCAAGTCCTGAAAGGTGACAAAGAGAACCCAATTAAACAGATGAGAAAAAAATATATACTTTGTCATTTATTCAGGAAAATGATCCAATATTACATATCTGTGAGCAGCAAAAGTATGTGAATCTCTAGGATTAGCTGTTAATTTGAAGGTGAAATTAGAGTCCATCTGTTCAGAGGTGTTTTCAATCTGTGAGATGACTCACTGAGGTGTCAGTGTGTGCCCTGTTTTATTTAAAGAACAGGGATCTATCAAAGTTTGGTCATGTTTGTGGAAGTGTATCACGACTGAGATCTCTGAGGACCTCAGAAAAAGAGTTGGTGTTGCTCATCAAGCTAGAAAAGGTTTCAAAGCCATCTCTAAAGAGTTTGGACCCAACCAATCCACGGTCAGACAGACTGTACAAATGGAGGAAATTCAAGACCACGGTTACCCTCCCCAGGAGTGCTCCACCAACAAAGATCACTCTAAAACGTTATGTTTGGAGAAAGAAAAAACTGCATTCCAGCATAAGAACATTATCCCATCTGTGAAACTTGGTGGTGGTAGTATCGTGGTTTGGGCCTGTTTTGCTGCATCTGGTCCTGGACGGCTTGCCATCATTGATGGAACAATGAATTCTGATTTATACCAGCAAATTCTGAAGGAAAATGTCAGGAGAATCTGACCGAGAACTGAATCTCAAGAGAAAGTGGGCCATGCAGCAAGACAACGACCCCAAGCACACAAGTCGTTTTAACAAAGAATGGTTAAAGAAGAACAAAGTTAATGTTTTGGAATGACTGAGTCAAATTCCCGGACCTTAATCCAATTGAAGTTTTGTGGAAGGACCTGAAGCAAGCAGTTCATAGGAGGAAACCCACCAACATCACAGAGCTGAAGTGGTTCTGTACTGAGGAATGGGCTCAAATTCCTACAAGCCGTTGTGCAGGACTGATCAGCAGTTACAAGAAACGATACTTGCAGTTAATGCTGCAAAAGGGGGTCACACCTGAAAGCAAAGATTCACATACTTTTGCCACTCACAAATATTTAACACCGGATCATTTTTCTCAATAAATAAATGACAAAGTATATATTTTTGTCTTCTTTGTTTGATTGGAATCTCTTTGTCTACTTTAAGGATTTGTGTGAAAATCTAATTATGTTTTGGGTCATATTTCTGCAGAAATATAGAAAATTCTAAAGGGTTCACAAACTTTCAAGCAGCACTGTAT